CTCATTTTACCAGGCCAGCACTACCCTGTTACCAAAGTCAGACAAGGACACTATGAGAAAAGAATTCCAGGCAAATGTCCTTGATGAACATAGATGCAAAAGTCTTAACGAAATGTTAGTAAGCCAACTCAACAGCACATTAAGAGGTATAATCAGTGGTGTCTTATCCCTGTGATGCAAGGAGGCTTCAACATATGAGAATCAATCAATATGATTCACCACATTGATAGAATAAAGGATAAAAACCATATGATCATCTCAATAGGTGCTGAGAAAATATTTGACAGAATAAAACATCCTTCAGGATAAAACCTGTCAAGCATCAGGTATAGAAAGAAGGTACCTCAACATAATGAAGGCCATATATGACAGTCCCACAGCTAATATCCTCAATGGTGAATGAAACATTTTCCTCTAGATGAGGGATAAGACAAGGATGCCCACTCTCACCACTTTGATTCACCACAGTACTGGAAGTCCTAGGCAGGGCAAAGAGGCAAAAAAAGAAGTATCCAAATCAGAAAGGAAAAAGTAAAACTATCTGTATTTGCAGATGGCATGAGCTTACGCTAGAAAATACTAAAGATTCCATCAAATAGTTACAAATATCACCCTGCCGTTTGTGACAACGTGGATGGACCTGGAGGACACCATGCCCAGTGAGATGTGGTGGACAAAATGACAAGTACTGTACGGGACTGCTTGTATTGTGGAGCCTAACAAGCTGATCACATAGAAGCAGAGTAGAGTGGTGCTTGCTTGGAGCTTGGGAGTGTGGGAAACAGGGACATGGGGATCAAACAGTGCAAACTCTCAGTTATGAGACCAGTAAGTTCTCAGGATGGAATCCACTGCATGGAGTCGAGAGTTAATAATGCCATGCTGTGTACTCGATATTTACTAAGAGAGTAAACATTAAGCATTCTTAAAAAGCAACTTTGTGAGATTATGAGTGTGTTATTTAACTGGACTGTGGCAATCATTTCACAGTTTACACATATCAAATCATGGTGTACACCCTAAAAAGCCCATGTTGTACAAAGTATATACTTTTATTTATCAAACATAAGTAAAAGTAGTCCTCAGCAGTGGCCACAAAACTGGAAAAGGTCAGTTTCCATTCTAATGCCAAAGAATGTTCAAACTACCACATAATTGCACCCATTTTACGTGCTAACAAAATAATGCTCAAAATCCTCAAAGCTAGACTTCAACAGTATGTGAACTGAGAACTTCCAGAATACAAGCTGGTTTTAGAAAAGACATAGGAACCAGAGATCAAATAGCCAACATCCACTGGATCATAGACAAAGCAAGAGAATTCCAGAAAAAGATCTACTTCTGCTTCATTCACTATGTTAAAGCCTCTGAGTATCTGACTACATAGATCACAACAAACTGTGGAAAATTCTTAAAGAGATAGAAATACCAGACTACCTTACCTGCCTCCTGAGAAACCTGTATGCAGACGAAGAAGCAACAGTTAGAACTGAACATGTAACAATGAACTGGTTCAAAATTGGGAAGAAACGAGTACGTCAAGGCTGTATGTTGTCACCCTGCTCATTTAACTTATATGCAGAGTATGTCATGCTATATGCTAGGCTGGATGAAGCACAAGCTGGAATCAAGGTTGCCAGGAGAAATATCAATAACCTCAGATATGCAGATGACACCACCTTTATGGCAGAAAGCAAAGAGGAACTAAAGAGCCTCTTGAAGAAGGTGAAAGAGGAGAGTGAAAAAGTTGGCTTAAAACTCAGCATTCAAAAAACAAAGATCAGGGCACCTGGTCCCATCCCTTCATGGCGAGTAGATGGGGGAAACAATGGAAACTGAAGGACTTTATTTTCTTGAGCTCCAAAATCACTGCAGATGGTGGCTGCAGCCATGAAATTAAAAGATGCTTGCTCCTTGGAAGAAAAACTATGACAAACCTAGACAGAAAATTAAAAGGCAGAGACATCACTTTGCCAACAAAGGTCTGTCTAGTCAAGCTATGGTTTTTCCAGTAGTCATGTACAGATGTGAGAGTTGGACGATAAAGAAGGCTGAGCACTGAAGAATTGATACCTTTGAACTGTGGTACTGGAGAAGACTTTTGAGAGTCTCTTGGACTGCAAAAGATCCAAACAGTCCATCCTAAAGGAAATCAACCCTGAATATCATAGGAAGGACTGATGCTGAAGCTGAGGCTCAAGTATTCTGGCCACCTGATGTGAAGAACTGACTCATTTGAAAAGACCCTGATGCTGGGAAGATTGAAGCCAAGAGGAGAAGGGGACAACAGAGGATTAGATTGTTGGATGGCATCACCGACTCAATGGAGTTTGAGCAAGCTCCGGGAGATGACGATAGACAGGGAAGCTTGACATGGTGCAGTCAATGGGGTCACAAAGAGCCTGATATAACTGAGTGACTGAACAACAACAATGGTAGCATATTGACTCTCCACTACCACCCTAAGTTAGAAGCTGACCCCTTTTCTGAAAACATAGAATGGAGAATGAAGACATAAAACCCCTGTGCTGAGTCAGGATGAATGGGTGGATCATCGATTAGATCAAAACTAGGAGTTAAAGTTATTCAGGAAAGATCAGCAGGACAAGTCTAAGAAGACCTGCTGACCAGTCACCAGTGATTCCATATTTAATGTTCTTGGAGACTGATGTCCCCAGCTGTACAATTAATACAATGCCTGAGCAGGGAAGCCCGTAGCCACGGGTTACTCTAGACAAGGTGTGGTTTGCACAGTGCAGGGCTTCTTCCCTTTCCCCCTCAGGTCAAGTACTTGTTAAGAGGAGTTGTAGCCATGATTGGGTGAAATCTGCACTTGCTGGTTGTGTGAGGAAGGCAGCAGTGAAAGAGCAGACACTGAGGGCAATGTCGCCAGTGGCATTGGCCATGTGGCCATTAGCACTCGAAGATGCTGAAATCTGGAGACGACCAGTAAGAGCCCTGGGCCAGTGACCAGCTGAGGGGCTAGCCATGACTTCTTTGTGCTTCCTTCTTGGGATGGGAGGTCAGTGTCTTCCCTCAGCAGAAATGATGGGCCAGACTGCTGACTGACTGGGTGCCACCACCATCTCATTGTCTGATATGTCAGCTCTGTACATCCTGCAGCTGTTCATGCTGCTGCTGCTAGTCAACTGTCCCTGGATGGACACTTCTGAGTACCAGTCCATGTTCCAGTAGCTTCCAAGGATGACCTCAGTTCTTACTTGGTGGTGATTAGATCTGTCCCCAAGGTGCTGGTCAGCTTCTCCAGAGAGTCCTGAATCCATGGTAGGTTTCGCCTAGTGAAGGAGAGCAGGTTCTGTGCTAATTGGCCCCTCAGGGCCCTTGAGCATGAACCGTGAGTCATGTCTCTGCTGACATTAGACAATATAGGGCTTCTCTAGCCTTGGTCACAAATTTCTGATGGACTCTTTATACCAGGTGAATCCACTGTATTTTTTTTAAAATCATTTCTATCTCCTAATGACTGCTGAGAATTCTTCAATATTTTTTTCTTAGGACAGAGAAGGAGGTTTCTTGAGAGAATACCAAGAATACCAGAAAGATATTTTCCATCTTTTGTAAGCACATACTATAATTGAATGTGTATTGTATGCATCATGTGTCATATAGATGAAAAACAATGTTCTGATTTGGGTGGATGATTATGTTTTCCTGTGACTAAGAGTCATGAGACCACTTTGGCTGTCATATTTGAGAAAGTTCAGTAAAAAGCATGTATTTTGTGCACAAAATATGGTCTAAAATCTCTTTCTCTCTCTTCCTATCTTTGTCTTTCTTTCTCTCCTTTCATATAAGAGATGGTTGGTTGAAAACTGTCACCGCTTTCCACACCAGTGAACACATTTAATTTGGTGGTCTGGGTGTCATTCTCAGGCCACTCCTCACAGGGACCTGTCTCTGTAGAATTTAGTGAAAGCCCTAACCTTCAGACATTGGCTTTAAAGCAGTTGGGCACAGGTCTTAGCCAGGTCTTAGCCAACACCATGAAGTAGTTTGTTGGTCACCAGCTTTATGCAGACAATCTTCCTACTTAATTTAAGTGCTATGATCTAAGTGGTGAAATAATTTCAAGAAGCACTAGTTTGCTAGTGCTTGAAATCAGCAGAGCTCCACACAGAATCTTGGTTTTCAGAGAGCCAGGACATCTGCACTTTCATCTCCATTTGGAAGGTGGCATGCATGGGCCTGAGTTTCCACTATTTCAGGATTATCTGGGGAGATTTTTTTGATTCAGGTGAAGCATTTTGGTGGTGATTTGTCTCTGATTTGGTGGGCGGAGGGGGTGGGGGTGCTCCATGTTGTGGGCTGTGCAGGGGCTGGCAGCAGAGAATCTGGTGTTGAATCAGGGTCCAGTTCCATCCTGACCCCTGGCTTTCCAGTGACCACTTGCAAGTCACTGGACAGTGGTGTGAAGACTCTTGGTTGACCTCCGTCAGCACTGGCTGGATGTAGTGAATCCAGGAGAATGGGGGTTTGGGAAAGAGGTTCTTTCCAACAGCAGGTTATTTTTCTCTCTGTTCCTTCTCTGTTCCCAGACACTGTCTGAGTGTATGAGTGGCTGTAAATACAGATTTTCAAATAGGAGACAGAGGTCAGAAGCCCCCTCCCCAGGGTTCCCCTGGAAGTCCACCCCAACGCCACCCCACATGTACTCCATGAAGGCTGGGGCAGCCCAATGCTCGCACACTGACCAGGAATCAGCCTGGGAATTTCTGTGAGTGGCCATCCCAGTCCTGCACTGGCAGAGAGGGGTGGTGATTTGAGCCTCTCCACACCTCAGGGGGCAGTCACTCTCACTGAAAGTTCCCAGGGGTCCACAATTATCAGGAGCACAAAGTTCCATTTTTATTACCAAAATAAGTTTTAAAATCCTCTTTTTAAGTGGGTCATGCACACAATTGCAAGAGGGAGCACTCAGAACAAGTTCAAACTCTCTCTACAGCCTGAGTCAGAGCAGTGCCCACAGTCTCAGAGGGACCATGCTGGCACCCTCCAGGGCTGTGATGAACCAGACGCTGGTCACCGAGTTCTTCATTCTGGGATTCTCAGAAACACCTGGGCTGCGAACGCTGCTCTTTTTCGGCTTCCTGCTTCTGTACACAGTGGCCCTCTCTGGAAACCTGCTCACTGTGGTGGTCATCAGTTCCAGTCCAGCCCTGCACACCCCCATGTACTTCTTCCTGGTCAACCTGGCGGTGGTGGACATTCTCTGCACGTCCACGATCCTGCCTGAGCTTCTGGTGGCCATGGTGGCCAGCGAGACCATCTCCTACGGGGGCTGCATGGCCCCGCTCTTCTGCTTCACGTGGTCCACGGGGGCTGAGCTGCTGCTCTTCTCGGCCATGGCCTGTGACCGCTTACGCGGCCATGTGCCGGCCCCTGCACTACGGCGCCCTCATGGGCCCCCGGGTGTGCGCGCTCTTGGCTGGAGTGGTGTGGACAGTCGGCCTGATCAACACCAGCGTGAACACAGGTCTCTTGCTTCGCCTGCCCTTCTGCCGCTCCAACGTGGTGGAGCACTTCGTCTGTGAGGTCCCCCCTCTGCTGAAGCTCTCCTGCGCCCCGACCCAGCTGAATGAAGCCATGGCCTTGACGGCAGACATCTTCCTGGCGGTGGGGAACTTCTCGGCGATCACGCTCTCCTGCTGCTGCGTCATCGCCAGCATCCTGCGCATGCGCTCGGCGGTGGGAGAGCGGCGCGCCTTCTCCACCTGCTCCTCCCGCCTCCTGGTGGTCACCTTGTACTACCCCACCATCATCTACACTTAATCCGCCCTGCGTCCAGCTCCTCACTGGACAAGGCCAAGCTGGTGTCGGTGATCTACACTTCCGTGGCCCCCTCCCTGAACCCCCTCATCTACTCGCTGAGAAACATGGAGGTCAAGGCGGCGCTCAGGAGGCTGCTGTCCTGCTGCTGAGGTCGCAACCCGCGAGGTCCTCCTCGTGCCTGGAGGGCGGGGCCCAGTGTGGCTTTCCCTAAACTGGGACATGGTTGTTGTCTGGAAGAGCCCCATCCTGTTTCCTAAGGTCACACCCTGCTGCAGTGCATAGTGACCATGGGGCCAGCTCTGGGCATCTCTCCTCTGCTTTCAGGAAGCCCCTTAACCTCCTAGTCTCACCCTGTCCTTCTCTGGTGAATCCTGGGATGACTTACGACAGTTTCATGACCCAAGAAGCATGTAGTAGATCACCAGCTGCACCTGACCCTTTCTTCAGCCCTTCTATGGCAACTTCTTCCCAAGATGCCCACATCTTCGTTTTCCAAGAAGCCTTGACTTTGCTGCAGCCCTTCTATTTTGGGCTTCTGCATTAACAATGGGTGGCCTTTGCCTTAGTCACAGGAGGAGATGAGCAGAGATGAGAGGGATTAAGGTAGGATAGGGTAATCCTATTCTACTTTAGGATAGGATTTCCAGTGTGTTTTGGGGGGGGGGGGGCGCAGATTTCAGGAGGATAGGTTCCCCCTGATGGCAAAGTTCCAGGAGTGGTCTTTTTTAAATGTGAGTGCTTTTTAGGAGAATATTTTGGCAAGGCTTTTTCAAGTCTATGATGTAAAGATGTTACTGGCATCAGTGTGGAAAGTGGCCAGGCTATTTCCTTTTCTTCCCCCTCCACCACAAACTCAGCTGTCCTTCCCTTCAGAACCGGGCTGCAGGAAGATTGGGCTCAGGAGGGTTTGGGACCCAGGGAGATGCTAGGTAAGAGGGGCTCTTCATGGGTGAGCCCTTTCTGTTCCCTTCTGATTTAGCTTCACAGGGCTGGGGGGAGGGGCGTGGGGAACCTGTGTGGCTTGAAGGGATGGGGACAGAAGGGGCCTTTTGAGGGAAAGGTGTTCCTGGTTCCCTGGGGGCTGTCTCTGAGCAAATCTTCCCCTGCTATGGTGCTTGTCTGTCTCCTGAAGACTGTAAACACTTGGAGGACAACGACAAGGTCCACCTTCCTACACTTGAACCAGGGGTTGTTCCTCTAAACTGGCTCGTTCTGGAAGCAATGTGCACCATGTGCAAGACAGGCACCCTGTAAATACCACTGATTGCAGAAAGAATGAAAGATACAGGGGTGATTTCTACCAATGAGACCATCAGACTTAGTTTTGGAAAGACTTGGTAGAGACATTTTTGTGACATGGTTAGTCAGTGAATGATCACCATTCTTTTTATTTTCCTAATCAGAAATAAGCTTCATGGTCGTGAGATTTATGAAACCTGTGGAAATTGGTAAGTGTCACTGAAATGGTGGCCAGTGGCAGAATTCTCAATACAATCCTGGAGCATCCGAGTTTACACAGGACACGATGCGTGTGTGTGGAGGGGGTGGGGGTGGGAGTGGGAGGTGTTGATCAACAGAGTGTTGAGAGTTGTTGGTACCACACCCTGTGGTTTGACCTCCATCCGTGCAGCTCTGACCTTAGGGTAAGCATGGCTGCAGGAAGTGCTTCCAGACATATACCCTGAAGCCAGAATCTGCATGAGAGGTGCCTGTCCCCACCTCCATGCTGGGGGAGGCACTGCACTGAAATACATGTCCAGATCCCCCAGGGAAGAGCCCAGCTAAGGTAGCCCCCATGAGGCTCAGATTCCTAGCTCATATGGACTCCTGGTCTCTGCTGCTCTTTGTGCCATGGGAATTCCCTGAAGAGGATAATGGGGTTTCTTTTAACTACAAATGGATTCGATGCTAATAAACTAGGACATAAGACATTTGAAAGGAGAATATATGAAGGTAAAACCCTTGTTATCCTATTGAGAGTTAGCTACCTGTAACATTCTGATATAAACAGTATTTTTCTGTTTGTACTTCTACACATATACAGGTAATCAAAGGGGAACGGGGGAGATAAATTAGGAGTTTGGGATTAACAAATATGCTCTCAGTTCAGTTCAGTTTAGTCGCTCAGTCATGTCCGACTCTTTGTGACCCCATGAATCGCAGCACGCCAGGTCTCCCTGTCCATCACCAACTCCCGGAGTTTACTCAAACTCATGCCCATTGAGTTGGTGATGCCATCCAGCCATCTCATCCTCTGTTGTCCCCTTCTCCTCCTGCCCCCAATCCCTCCCAGCATCAGGGTCTTTTCCAATGAGTCAGCTTTTCGCAAGAGGTGGCCAAACTATTGGAGTTTCAGCTTCAACATCAGTCCTTCCAATGAACACCCAGGACTGATCTCCTTTAGGATGGACTGGTTGGATTTCCTTGCTGTCCAAGGGACTCTCAAGAGTCTTCTCCAACACCACAGTTCTAAAGCATCAATTCTTCGGCACTCAGCTTTCTTCACAGTCCCACTCTCACATCCATACGTGATCACTGGAAAAACCATAGCCTTGATTAGACAGACCTTTGTTAGCAAAGTAATGTCTCTTCTTTTTAATATGCTATCTAGGTGGTCATAACTTTCCTTCCAAGGAGTAGGCTTCTTTTAATTTAATGGCTGCAATCACTATCTACGGTGATTTTGGAGCCCCCCAAAATAAAGCCAGCCACTGTTTCCACTGTCTCCTCATCTATTTCCCATGAAGTGATGGGACCAGATGCCATGGTCTTGGTTTTCTGAATGTTGAGCTTTAAGCCAACTTTTTCACTCTCCTCTTTCACTTTCATCAAGAGGCTTTTTAGTTCCTCTTCACTTTCTGCCATAAGGGTGGTGTCATCTGCATATCTAAGGTTATTGATATTTCTCCCAGCAATCTTGATTCCAGCTTGTGCTTCTTCCAGCCCAGCGTTTCTCATGATGTACTCTGCATATAAGTTAAATAAGCAGGGTGACAATATACAGCCTTGATATACTCCTTTTCCTATTTGGAACCAGTCTGTTGTTCCATGTCCAGTTCTAACTGTTGCTTCCTGACCTGCATATAGGTTTCTCAAGAGGCAGGTCAGGTGGTCTGGTATGCCCATCTCTTTCAGAATTTTCCACAGTTTATTGTGATCCACACAGTCAAAGGCTTTGGCATAGTCAATAAAGCAGAAATAGATGTTTTTCTGGAACTCTCTTGCTTTTTCGATGATCCAGCAGAGGTTGGCAATTTGATCTCTGGTTCCTCTGCCTTTTCTTTTCTTTTTTTTTTTTAAGGGATGGCATTTAATCTCCAGCATGAAGGATAAAAGGGTACCATGGTTGAGAAGGGGAGGTCAGGGAGTGAGGGAAAGGGGCAGATGACCTCAGTGAGGAGTGGGGGGGTTGAGGGGTGGGGTGGTGGGGGGTAGACAGTCTTTCTACAGTTTCTCCAAGCTCATTTAAAAATCTTAAGAAAATTCCTCAAAGCCTCCATTTATCTGTTAGAAGGTCAATTTCTTTCAGAGGTGTGCTACATCAAGGTTATTTACATAGATTTTGCTGGAGGAAAGGGTATTGCTTATCCAACAGAAAGTAAATCCACATTTCTCGTGCTTTTTTCTTTTCTTCTCAAGAGTGTTTGAGACAACTCAGCATCTATCGTTTTGGAATCTGACTCTGAGGTCCAGTGCCTCATGTCCCTGATTACAGTGGTTTCTAAACCTTGGCTCATCCGAATCCCTCATGTCCCAGGGTAATCTGTGGGGACTCACAAGACATCTTACTGTAAGTAATCTCAGACAGTTTTGCCAACTATAAATCAATTCCCAAAGTCCCCCTGAGTATGGTTTAGTAAGATCTCAAACTAGAAACTTATTGAAAGTACTCCCCAACACAACTTCAGACTTTCTTCAACATTTCTGTCAGCAAAAAGCATAAAGTCTAGTTTTCTCCCTGCCCCCCCCCCCCAATAAATGCATAAATTGTACAGTTCTCTTTCTTTCCAAAATTTAGGAGAGAATAAAGTGTTATAGGAGAAGGCAATGGCAGCCCACTCCAATACTCTTGCCTGGAAAATCCCCTGGATGGAGGAGCCTGGTAGGCTGCAGTCCATGGGGTTGTGAAGAGTTGGACATGACTGAGCGACTTCACATTCACTTTTCACTTTCGTGCATTGGAGAAGGACATGACAACCCACTCCAGTGTTATTGCCTAGAGAATCCCAGGGATGGGGGAGCCTGGTGGTCTGCTGTCTATGGGGTCGTACTGAGTCGGACATGAATAAAGCGACTTAGCAGCAGCAGCAGCAGTAGCAAAGTGTTATAACCCTAGGCTGGAGTCATTACTTTTTGTCTCTGTAAGGTCCTGGGATTCACTAAGCCATCACTGAGCTCCGTAGGACTTGATGGGTACCTGCTGTGTGTCATGCTCTATGCTAGGCACTGGGAATATACTGCCATTCAGGACACAGCCTCAGACTTGGGGTAACTCAGATCTGCCTCCTTTTGAAGACAATGGGCTACTTTTCTGGGTGTCTGATGTCCTCTGCTAATGATCAGAAGTTGTTTTGTGGAGTTTGCTCAGCGTTCAAATGTTCTTTCGATGAATTTGTAGGGGAGAAAGTGGTCTCCCCGTCTTATTCTTCCACTATCTTAGTTCCCTCCTGGTCTCCTCTGCCTTTTCTAAAACCAACTTGAACACCTGGAAGTTCACGGTTCACATATTGCTGAAGCTTGGCTTGGAGAATTTTGAGCATTACCTTACTAGCATGTAAGATGAGTGCAATTGTGTGGTAGTTTGAGCATTCTTTGGGATTGCCTTTCTTAGGGGTTGGAATGAAAACTGACCTTTTCCAGTCCTGTGGCCACTGCTGAGATATGCTCTACTATATATAAAATAGATAACCAATAAGGACCTACTGTATTATAGCACAGGGAACTCTACTCAGTATTTTGTAATAGCCTATAAGGAAAAATAATATGAAAAAAATATACAT